AAGTGCAATTAAATTACATATATGTAATATACACACATTGCACACTTTAATTTCAAGTTTTTGTTATTTCTATATTATAATTTCAAATTCTATCTTAGTATTAAAAATACGTCACACTGGATTTATTCGTCTAATATTGAACTAGAAAATGTTGAAAGCTTTCTTAAGCTTTTGTTATTACATTCAGATATCAAGCGACCATCAATAATGTTTCGTTCGTTAGTGGTAAACAGTTGGCTATTGGCTTTACTTGAAACCAGTTATATTTAGCATTTCCATCAGAGTGCTCGAACGGTATATAAAATTGTGGTACCAAATTGCTTTCACTTTTTATAAATTTATAATATATCGAAAAATTTTTCATATTATAACCGACTTTTTTTTTTAGCCGTTACCATTTATTATTCTTGATAGTGGTATATATAAGACTACTTTTATATTGTCTTCTACATAAGACTAAGAGCGTTTTACTTGTTCTTTGATATACATATAATAGCGTAGCGATGCAACAACAATTTTTCGAAACAAGTTACGACTTCCAAATTATGGAAAATAATTTCAAGCCAATGACAGATTTTAATTTGTTAATAACCATTAATATAGTTACCATCTAACAAAGAGTATTTACATTCTTCTATTAAGTATGACGATGAAATTGTATGCCGTGTCCGATGGTCCGCCATCTTTAGCAGTTCGCATGGTTCTTAAGGCTCTCAACATTCCGTACGAATTGATTAATATCGATTTCATCGCAGGAGAACATATGACCGAGGAGTATGCCAAAGTAATATATTTTATACATACTTAAATTTTAGTATATTACTAATATTTTATTTTTATTTTATTTTTTTTGCAGATTAATCCGCAAAAAGAAATTCCTGTGCTTGACGATGACGGCTTTTATTTATCCGAAAGCATTGCAATAATGCAGTATATTTGTGATAAATATGGACCAAATAACAATCTATATCCGAAGGACGCAGCTAAGCGCGCTATTGTGAACCATCGACTCTGTTTCAACATGGGCTTTTACTATGCAGCCATTTCAGCTCATAGCATGGCACCAATATTTTTCGATTACCAACGCACCGATATGAGTCTTAAAAAAGTTAATAATGCCTTAAGTGTTTTTGAAACTTATTTGCGAGATGGAAACACAAAGTATGCTGCTGCAGATTTTTTGACTATTGCTGATTTCAGTTTAGTGTCAGCCACTTTATGCCTAGAAGCAATAACCTTTGATTTGTCACCTTATCCATTGGTACAGAAATGGTACACAACATTTAAGCTGGAAAACCCTGAGTTATGGAAAATTGCAAATGGTGGAATGCAGGAAATTGCGGAATTCGAGAAAAATCCTCCTGATTTATCTCACATGAAGCATCCATTTCATCCAACGCGCAAATTAAAAGAATAAAATTGGAAATTTATATTTACTGTACTATGAATACAAATACATGCATATGTATAAGTGCTGATGCAACACATTCACATAAATCACTATTAACATTTGAGCTACTTGAACTTAAGATTTATTTTACTGGTAGTGCTCCAATTCATGTTGATAAAATTACTGTTACCACAATAGTTCAAAATAAAATTTTATTGATTCGGTAAAACGGTAAAATTGCTGAATTGATGACAAATGATCATATCAAGGCAATTACTCCCTCCTACGTATTAAAAAAGTAGATATTGTTACTTTTATTCGTTAAAAATCGGCTTTATCTAGGATAATAAACGGCGTTTTAATTATTTTTTTACTTTTGCGTTATAATGAAGGTTAGTATTAAAAATCAAAACTTCTGAAGCGAATAAATCTTTTATGTTACTTTACGGATATAAAATTCATATGTATGATTGTTGTGTTTGCTTAAAAGTTCAATCAAGTATTGCGTCAAATTTTCATTTTAACCCAAATATATGATTCGGCTAACTGAAGCCTTGATAGGGAAATTTGTGTTCATTTGGCGCAATTGCATTGATTTTCATAAGAAAGCATATTCAAAGGCTATTCAGACCAGTCTGGGTTAATTCATTGGTCGTTATACGGTAGTTATTTAAGTGCATTTTATTTTTGTAAAATTAACTGTTGTGGCCGAGGTGGTACTAACGAATAATTACTACTACAACCAAGCGTTTTTGATCATAAATTCATTACCTGAAGTCCTCAATTAAATTTCCAATTGCCTCAGAAAGCTTACGATACGTTCGTCCCCAAGACGAATATTGCGCTACATCTCCCAACAAAGCTTTCGGATCTGGGTCCAAATAGTTATCAAGCTGTTTACGTGCTGTTTTACTGAGCAAATCCATTTTACTTAATATATTTACATGCGGCATTTCCATGTTTGCCATCACACTAAGAGCAGCCATAGTGCCCGATAAAAATTTAGCTCCGTCCACCATGAATTGCGAGTCGACTAGAAATACTGTACAAATGCGGAAATTCCAGGATTCTAATAATTGTACTAACTGTTTGCCCATTGATAAGTGAGTGAAAAGTTCTATTTGGCCTGGCATATCGAATAATATGTAATCATCATCTGGTTCTCCGACAATTTCATTGTCGGAATCATCTGCACCGCATAATTGCGATTTTAACCAATCTTGATTCTGTATTAAGTATTCCAGACAAAATACTAAACCGCCATTTGGGCCATAATGAAGCTCTTCATCTTCCATTGCATCGTCCAATTGAATTAAGTCACGAATATCCACCAACGGATGATAATCAAAATGTTCTGCCGCTGGATCCAAGTTAACCACTTCAATTGCACGTTTGGAGTCTTGAGCATGTCGCTGCATATATGTGCAGTAAGTTGACTACTTATTCATGGAAATATGTTAGTTAGTGTCATTTTATATACATTTTTTATTATCTTACTTTGCCACAACCAGCTGGACCAATCACAACTTGAGCATACCGCATTTTGTTTTCAACTCTTGTCAATCTTTGAATTATTGGATTATGCCTTCTTAATTACTATGGTGTGCCAATGTAAATACAAATAATGAAATATCGAAATTAGTGATGTGCGTTTGGTAAATTCAAGATTTAATTGAAGGAACAATTTTTTTTTTTTTTTTTGTTTATTTAACATTTAATTTTGGGGAATTGAAACAGTATTTATATTACTTACTATAAAATTTAAAAAAACAATTACCTTAGTACTTTTATGGGAACAGAGTTTACATGTGCTAAATATATATTTCTATCATTCTTGTGACACATGGCAAGGTGCAAACAGAGAACGTATATTATACGTATAATACATTCTCTGCAAAGTTCTCGAAAAAGAAGAAAGTAAAAGTGAAATAAAAAGAGCATCTAAAAATACAAAACGAGTGTTATTGAAAACTTCTTCAAATTTTGGGATAATTTGATGCAAAAGCTAAAGTAAAATTCATCTTCAAAAAATATGAAGTAAGTAGCTGAATTATATATAAATATATATATTTTGTATAAATATTCAGCTTGCATATAACAGCAGAGCTGAAACAGATTCTACCGCAACCGCAACAACAATTCGACAACAAATTTTCCCCACTTCACCATGTCAGCAGCCAATACCAACAATCCCCCATTTGATGCCAACTCCTTTGCCAACACCGTGGAATCTTAATACAATGCCGTGGAAATTAGCTAGTACGAATTTTGGACAAGATGGTGTAATGCAGTTCAGCGCCCAAGTCAACGATGAAGTACACAGCAGAGCAATTCTCCATCAAAAACGTAAATCAGAAGAAGAAAGCTTGATGTAAGTTCATATACTTGGTTAATGGTTTATCTAAATGGCTAATCTAAATTACTTGCAGACCAATCAAACAATTTATTTCTGAAGAAAAAATTACCGCACATTTCAATGGATTACACATCTCTAGTGATTATATTGGGAACAATTCAAATGCCTGTAGTAATTCTATGGTAGGTGATGATGCACCCAGTACCAGTACTGGTAAATGTTTTACTAATCTCACCTACAAAGACTATCAAGTAACTGCTAAGGAGTTGGAAGAAAAATTGCGCAAAGCGAACAGGATAACTTTGTGTGAGCAGTTAAAAAACTTTAATGAACAACAACGTAAAACCACCTTTCTACCAGAAGCGCTTTTTAATAGAATTGAAAAGCCGTGTACTGCTTTGGTTCTATGGCAACCTCCACCAGTGTTAGAATTACTACATCGTAAGAGAGAAAATGAATTGACACCACCTAGTACTGATAGTACAAGTGCTGACAGTTTTGGTACTGCTGACACCATAGACGAGGGCGACGAATTCTCTGATCACGAGCTAGAAGATATAGACGACTTTGTCGACAATAATAACACGTGTCGTCTAGATTTTAATAACATGAAAGTTGATCATATGGATGAAGATTTGTAGTTTACAAATAATAGATATATTTACCATAGCTTCTAGGTGGATACAATTTTTTGATTTCGTACGCTAACATAATAATGGAATACATAATTTTTAAGAGTGAGTCGTGGTACAAATTTCTCAGCTGTTTTGGTACAGAAAAATAGCTATGAGAATAAAATAGTTTTTTATAATAATGCATGAATAGTATGAATGAGCCTTTGAACCTTAATTAATTTTCCTAAGCATAACATGGATTAATTTTTCCAACACATACTAATATACATAAGTCGGGAATATTGCTCAAAATAATTTTATTGTTACAAAATGTACGAAAGCATTGATTGGCATCAAATGTTATAAAACTGCGACTCTATGCACGTTTCATCATTTGGAACTAATATTTTTTCTTGTATTTATTTCGCTAAAAACATGTAATAATAAATATTGTATGTACGTTTAAAGATATTCCATGGCGTTTTACATGCATTTAAATATCTTTTGTTTTTAATATGGAATAACATGACCAAATTGTACCAAATTAAAAAAATAAAAATATTTAGGGAAAATTACATCTAATGTATGTGACCATATGTATTTTTTTACTAATTACCTAATTAATTGGTTGTCATTTCCATTAAATTTCGCATAAAATCTTTTCAAGAATGTCTAGTTTTTTACCTTGTTGCATGATTTTAGATACCACTGGAATATCTCTTGAAAATCCCTGAAAAAGGGAAATATTAAAAAAAATAATAACAATGCATTACTTTTAGAAGCAACATTGTATGAAAGTGATAAAGCGAAAATAAATAAAAACGGATTTAAATTGTGTGCAAATGTTGACATGGTGGAGCAAAATGGAGACGAAGAATATCGTTGTTGGAGACAAGTTCCGTTTTCATTAGTTTCGTTGCCATTAAAAGGTGTGGACGTGTGAAGTTAGTTCGCTCTGCACTGATACATTTTCCAGCGCAAAATATCGGGACAGGGCAATAGCATTTCTTGTCCGCTGCGTGCCTTGCGAGATTTACATCAACTCATAAAGTGGATAATAAACGAAACAAAAAATTCCCGTATGTTTAGATTAAAGTAAAATAGTAATTAAAAATTATACCTACAAGGTTTTTAAATACATACTATGTTCATGGGTTAGTGAATAACAATAATAAGAATATAAAGGTGAAGAAGTGACTTGTGCGAATCTTAGAGATTACCATAATAAGCAACCATCATAAATATGAAATAAAATACATATGTATATGTGTGCAAATGTACATATGTGCACTCCACAAGGGAATCTGAAAAAAATAATATGCAATCCAAAGTAAATGATTGGTATTGAGCTGTAATAAGAATTTTTTAATGTGATATACATATGTACACACATAACTTCAATATGAAATCACACATATGAATAAAAAATATATGCAAAAACGATAATGATAGTAATGGATGACAGGATGACAGTAATAAGTAAGTTCGGGGGTAATTGAGAACGATTACTAATACATTGAACTAAACAACGGTATATATTTTTTAAAGTGAACAGAATCTATAACCATTATCCAAAGCAGTAGCCGGTTATTCAAAAAAGAAATGATATAACGCTTGTCAATAGATAAAAATTTGTTTAAAACATATTTTTAATACGCAAGTTAAAAAAAAAAAGACATTTGCAGATGTTCTTTATGAAGATTATACCCGTGTATGTATGTATGTATATAAAACATGTATGCTTACATATATAGACCTTTTTCTTTAAAACTGTAAGAAATAAAACGAAATTTGACAACAGTTGTGCGCAAATAAAGTCTTACATAGTAGAAACTACTTTGTACTAAGAGTAGTTTTCGCTATTTATTTTTTGAAATTTTGATTTTACAAGACTAAACAAAAATCTGCTGCAAAACATATCAATAGAATACTGCAACCCAGCAGCAACGATGTCATTTCGGGAAATGTTCCATTTAAAAAGGCCGGTCATACACTACTTGCTTGTTCACACGAGAAAACTTTTGTTCCATAAACATGAAGCTCGTTGGAGGGAAGCGTCTTCAAAAGACGCAGATGAGAAGTTGCCCATATGATGTGTTGAACACAATGCTCGCGACAGACTGCAGCAGCACGGCAGGGAACTGAAAATGGCGTTGTAAATCCTACTACATGAACAAAACAACGCAGTTGTCCATTTTGCACGTACACAATTTCGTTGTGGCCATACTAATACCTTGCGCTTCAATGAAATTTTACTATTTTTTTCAAAGTGAAAAAATAAGTAAAAAGGTAAATTTATTCATTTCAAATTATCAATTGTTATTGCAAATGATGTAACAGTTATTTTATGCTTTTATTTGCAAAATAACGTCAGGTTTGGTAGACTTTGAATAATTTTACATATTAGTGGCATCACCACTCTTCCTCATCTCTCTACTGTCGTTGGCAAATATAGGATTAAACTGAAGTTAGCGAGGACGACAACTGTCGGCCTGCAGTCGTGTAGTCGTGCAGCTGTTAAAATAGGTCTGTCCAGAAGAACGTGTGTATTTTAATATTTGAGAGATGTCGTTTGCAGTCTGTCGAAAGCATTGTGTTCAACATATGATGAGCAACAAAAGCTTAAATGTATGAATAGATTCTAAGGAAGATATGTCATTTGTTGCCATATACATTTCTCATTTAATTTTTAACATTTCAAAACTTAATTTCACATTTTTAAAGGGTATCTAGATTTTAATTTTTGGTTATTTTGCTGATACCCTTATTTTTACTACATCGCAGTAGTAGCTAAATTTTGGATTTAACTGAAATGTGTGATATTTTATGTGACAAAGTAGTAAAGGGAAAAAGAAACTAAAAGCAACACTACGTTCGTTCAAAATGGGTAAAATTTATGCGAATAGGGAGAATAAAAAAGAACGAAGAGAGAGATACGTTCGTTTAGATACTTACCAAACTTGCACGTTTAGTATGTTGCGGTTCGTTTACTTTGCTAGTTTATAAAATTTTCAGTGCTAATGTAAAAAAGTGAAACTACATAATTGTTCTACGAGTTGAGCAAACGTCATTTAATATCAGTACAAGGCAGAGCCGCTTAAAAAGATAACTATACAAAAAAACTCGTGGTTGCACGTAATATAAAAACATTTTCTTCATTTGAAGAGTTAGTTGAACCCAAATGAAAATATAAATAAGTTATTGTGCTGTGCTAAACTATTTTAAATATTTTTTTCAGTTAAGAAAGAACGCTAGAAAACGTGATTTGTGAGTGTGTAATCTGAATATAGCTAAATAAATACGGAGGCGATGTCCGAAACGGGGTCGCCGGGCAAAACTCAGAAAGGTGGCCAGCAGCAGCGTCGCCAATTGGTAAGTACAGAAATCTTTCAAAATAAAAATATATTTTGCAATCAACGTTATAAACAAAACTTCTAATAACAAGTTCTTGTATTGTTTGACAACTAAAAGAGCATGTTCAAATAAAAGTATATAGAATTGAGTTTTTCCGTAGTTTTAGTTGCAGAGTCTAGCAAGAGCGTTGCCCGAAATAGCTGGCTGCATTGAATGGCCAAAAAGTCGTGTGATAATGGCGTATGCGCTAGCTAAAATGAAAAATACAGCTCGGCAAATAAAGTGGTGTTGTGAGACATTAACGACTCAACTCTCAACACAACCCTCCAAATCACCTAGTGCATGTGTATATATAAACGTCTGTATTTTGTAGATAGGGTGGAGGTGAACTCGTTGAAGCAGTATAGTTTTGCCGACGTATTATCTATTTATTTAATTACATTGATGTATTTGAGAAATTAATAATGCATCCAATTTTCATTATACATATACTCAGTTCTGTATAAAATCTAATTTCAAAGATTATAAAGAAAAATTATTCTATTCCGGCTAAATTTTTTATATTTCTGCACTATATTTTATTTAAATCTGAAACAACTACCGATGCCAGCCGCAAATCAAATATATGTACCTCTTTATAAACGAATTAATGATTTTCGATGATTAACAAAAAATTAGTGTAAAAATGTGAGGCGCGCTATGCACAATCGAGATTACATAGTGAACATTGGTATATGCTACATATGCATAAACATACATATAATATGTGATCTGCCTACATTTGCTTATATACCTATATGTATGTATAATTGATTCTAGTATTCATATACTTGATCAAGCGTTATAAATTTGTTGCTGTACACGTAAGAGTGCACGCAATAAATAAAAAAGGCCCGTAGGACGCATGGCCCATCTGTACGCTATTTACGGAACGAACAATCACCAATTGTACCAACGCGAAGTACTCAAAGCAACTGACGCTGCTCAAAAATTTTCGCACGCTTAAAAGGAACTTGAGGATGCGCTAGTATGCGGGTGATGCCGCATACGGCATATACATATATATCCGCATACCTGTGTATATTACCAAAAGTCACTCATAGTCACACAGATACAAAATGTAAATATTCATTTTAGCTTGTGTTGGCCAAAGCCGTTCAAACAATGTCTGCCACCAGTAGTCTCTCCGAGAGAATGAATTCTCGTCATGAGTTAACCTGTTCGATACAGTGCTGCCAGAGTGTTGCCTTTTTATATAAAGGTCTCTATAAAAACATTTCACCCAAATAATAATAGTAATAACAGTAGAAAGTGTGTTACGTAATATTATTTTGTTATAAAGAATTATACACTATTATAATACTGCTTTTATAATAATGCAAACAAAATATTAATTGATGATGTTGTAAAATGATGAAATTTTAAGATGCGTGTGCATGTACAGACATGGACAGATAAATAGCCCACTTTGAGTTTGCAATAAACTAAATTTTTTATTAGCATAGCATTTGACGAGGAATAAATAATTAAAAATATTTTTTGAATAGTTCTAAAAAATTTTGTATTTTGTTCGGAAATTAAAAAATGTTATTAAAAATATTTAAAGTGAGTAACGTTAATACATTGTAGTGTGCCTACAATTTTTTAAAATTGGTGGGCATCGTCGTGTCAAGCTCCAGTCCACAGCTCTTCAGCATTTTTGAACTTTTGAATCTTCATCTTAACATCGCTCCATTGTTTTTGTGGTGTATATGGAGTTACATGCTTGACATCTGGGGCGATGGAAAATTCTTAATGTTCTTTGCATGTGTAGACGTGCTCTTATGTTTCTTTAGGGCAACAATGGTTTTTTCGACTATTTCGTCTAAACAACTGAACAGAATTTTGACGCTTTCCTACAAGCCTACTGAATACGCTAAGCCCAAATTCTTCATTTATTTCAGCCATAATCCCCCTGGAAGATTTTTAATCTATCGCCGCTATCTTTTAATTCGCTGACCTATGTCAGTGACCATCGAATGTGATATTCGCCGTGGCCAAACTCGCAAAAGAGCATAAATCTTTCGCAGAACCTTTCTCTCGAAAGTTTGTAACGTCGACTCATCAGATGTTGTCATCGTCTATGCCTTACCACCATATGGCATGACGGAATAATCAGTGACTTATAGAGTTTGGTCTTTGTGCGTCGAGAGAGGACTTTACTTCTCAATTGTCTACTCAGTATAAAATAGCACCTGTTGCCAAAGGTTATTCTGTGTTCAATTTCATTGTTGTTGCTGTTGTCCAAGGTAGATAAAATATCTACGACTCCGTAGTTTTGTCTGTCAACAGCAACGTGGGAGCCTAGTCGCGAATGCGATGACTGTTTGATCACGTGATATTTTGTCTTGCCCTGTTTCACTACCAGACCTGTTTGCTTCTCTTCTTCATCCATTCTGGAAAAAGCATAACAAACGGCACGGTTATTGAGGCCAATGATTTCAATATCATCGGCGTACTCCAGTAGCTGTACATACTCTTATAGAAGATAGTACCTCTCTCCTTTTCGTGCTATCAAAAGCAGCTTTAAAATCGACAAATGTGTCGATCACCTTTTCATGGGTCTTTTCCAAGATTTGTAGCATGGTGAATATCTGGTCGGTTGTTGATTTTCCAGGCTTAACGCCATACTAATGAGGTCCAGTCAGTTTGTTGACGGAGGGCTTTAATATTTCACACAATGCGGTAACTCATTCCACGGTAGTTGGCGCAGATTGTGGGGTCTCCCTTTTTGTAGAAGGGGCATAGCATATTTAAATTCCAATCGTTGGGCATTCGTTCGACTATATTCTACAAAGAAGCTGATGCATCCTTATCAGTTCTTCTCCACCGTCTTTGATTAGCTCGGCGGGCAAACCAACCGCCACTCAGGCGGGTGATTGCTATTCGAACTTCTTTATAGTCGAGCAAAGGAACGTTATGCTGTCACTGCCATACAGCAAGCTGGAGAAGTGTTTCCTCAATTTTTTGTTTTGTATGCTCTGGGTATTAGTCACTAGATCACCTCTTTGGGATCTACAAGAGTATGCTCCGATCTTGAAACCTTTTGTTAGCCGCCGCATCTCTTCGTAGAATTTTCGAGCATTACCCCTGCCGGTCAGCTTGTCAAGCTCTTCGTACTCACGCATTTCTGCCTCTCTCTTTTTTGTCTGCAAATGTCTCTTGCTTTTCTCTTCAACTATCGGTATCTCCCATCCCTCACGTATTGTGGTCGACTGTGATGTTGCGAGGTAGGCAAACTATTTTCTTTCCCCTGCGACACGGTACTCAACATCGTACCAATGATTTTACATTTTCCGAAAACCAATGCTTTCTGTTGTAGCTGTATGTAAGGAGCTTGAAATGTCGTCCCACAGTTTCTTTATACCGAGTTGTTGACGAGTACTCCCAGAGAGCAAGGTTGCAAATCGTGTAGAAAATCGTTATTGCAATGCACTTATTTGATAAAACTAAAAACTGATTTGATTGATTTTTTTTTTAAGTCTGCTATTTCTCTGTCCATGACTGTATGTACATACGAATAAAAGTTACCCTCTTTCATTTTGATCACGTACTCGCAAAATACCATATCGTTGATTGGAAGGAAAACAGACCATTTTAACTATAGTTTTGATGGATTCATATTTTGATTCTTGCTTTTAAGCCTGATTATGTAGAATACCAACATGCAGAAACGCGTAAAGTAAATGTCGCCAAACTACTTTTTCAAGGAACCAGTATGCCAAGGAGGTTTGCTATTAAGTAAAATAGCGTTTTGCGATTACTGTGTGTTCGATACCGAAATTACTTTTCGTTTAAAGGACGCTTAACATATATGTATATACATACATACATATATACGTATTTACACACACCATACCCTTGCTCGCATCATGAAGGGCAACAAATTGTTCCTATTACACTTTTTCCAAAGCAAAAATTTTTGCTGAGAGGCATTCACCACTGTTGCTGTTAAATATGTATGCACATACATATATGTACATCCGAGGTTGTAGTTGATTCTAGTGTTATTGAAGGTCGCTTTGTAGTGCTCGAGTTCTCTTAGTCGCAGATGAAATTCCCAAAATATCCTCCTTAAAGTGTGGGTAATAGTGACTGTTCTTGACGGCAGGCCACGTTATATTGTTAAACAACTGAGCAGATCCGTAAAATGTTGCGGTGTCGTGATTTTTCGATTCACGCTTGCGTAGTTTTGCTCCGATACACATACTTAAACCCACTCAAAAAGATGGTAGTGTTGAGCAGAAAACTCAAATTGTACATTAATGCTCTTCAATGCACTCAAGACATAATTTCACCACAGATTAAGTTGTAGCCTGAACAAGAACAAAAAACTCAAATTTTATCTGCGTATGTTGTGTACTAGCTTCCTAAACATTTGCGTGTTATCGCAGCTTACTCACTTTTATTGTTATTTACTGTGCTTATTATGGCGGTCAGGACAGGTATGTAAGAATATGTGCAAGATATTTCCTCCTCTCCAGCTAAATTAGTAATTGTTGACAATAATCAAACTTACCCCCATCCTGTCACTTGCCGCTGAGGCCTTCCTGTTGCTCTACGCTCTAATGTCAATTTTCTCAGTTTAAGCTACATATATATTGTCACTGCAATTAAGTCACAAGCCTGCCGGCTGTATAATAAAGGAAGCTGACAGATAAGTGACGCCAAAAACACTATTTATCCCTATCAAAATTGATAGGGACTTTATACACAAAATTTGGGTTGGATCGTTACAATTAGCTTTTATGTTCGTGTGAAGTTTAAGCTCTATATGCCATTTATTATCTGTTTGACAGCTGTTTGAGAAATGACTTGCGTAGGACTCAATATCCCCAAAAATTTTATTTGGTTTAATACTCAGAAAAAAACACGTTCCTCAGTTGTATAGTACTACGTGTCATGCTGCCCTGCAATCAGACTTGTTGTTTTAAGAAATTTACTTAGCTTTGCGAAATATCTAATAATAATGCTTAGGCGATAACTAAATTGTAATAAAAATATTTTTTTCTGTTCTTTTAGCGCGAACGTAAGCAACGGAAGCTGTATCTCGAAGAATGGGCACTTGGTGATGATGATTTGGAGGGAACACGAGGGTTCAGCGTCTCAGAAAAATTGGAATCTTCTAAGTTTGCTCAAACTGGTATGGTTCGAGAGATGCGTGGCAGTGATTTGAGTGTGGCGTAAGTTTATCCATTATCTTGTCGTAAAAACAATAATAATTCGTTGTCTATTTTAGTTTTCTTCAACAATATGGCTTTAATATTCCATTGTTGTTTCGTGAAAAGACTGGTTTAGGACTGCGGATGCCCGACTCTAACGAATTTACCATAAACGACGTACGTCTGTGCGTTGGTTCCCGTCGTGTTTTGGACGTGATGGATGTGAACACTCAGAAGAACTTACAAATGACAATGAAAGAGTGGCAACAGTATTATGACAATCCACAAAAGGATCGACTCCTTAATGTAATTTCCCTAGAATTTTCTCATACGCGCTTAGACAATTATGTACAATGTCCAGAAATTGTTCGTCAAATCGATTGGGTGGACGTTGTATGGCCTAAACGTCTCAAGGATTCACAAAGAGAAGGTACCAATGTGTTGGGCGAAATGATGTACCCAAAAGTACAAAAGTACTGTCTTATGTCAGTGAAAAATTGTTATACTGATTTTCATATTGACTTTGGCGGTACTTCGGTTTGGTACCATATTTTAAAGGGTAGTAAAGTGTTTTGGCTAATACCACCAACAGAAAAAAACTTACAATTATATGAGAAGTGGGTATTATCCGGAAAGCAGGCGGACGTTTTCTTTGGCGATACAGTGGAAAAATGTGCTCGAGTATACTTAACAGCTGGGAACACTTTCTTTATACCCACTGGTTGGATACATGCTGTATACACGCCAACAGACACACTGGTGTTTGGCGGTAACTTCTTACATTCCTTTGGTATAGTTAAGCAGCTTAAGACCGCGCAGGTGGAAGATGCTACCAAAGTACCGCAGAAATTCCGATATCCTTTCTTCACCGAAATGCTGTGGTATGTCCTAGCACGATACGTATATACACTACTGGGCCACTCGCATTTGGAGGGTGAATCTTCAGTAAGTGAGGAGGAAATGTCTAAACGAGGACATGTGCACCTCACACACTATGAACTTTTTGGTCTTAAAGAGATTGTCATGTATCTGTATGATTTGCCACCCCAAAAGAAAAATGTACCCGAATTGGTACGTGATCCAGTGGCATTGATCAAAGATGTACGCACGTTGGTAGAGCGACACTGCAAGGACAAGCCTGAGCTGGCCATAACGGGTGAATCTGTGTTGAAACCGCCCGGTCAGATGCACCCTACGTTTCAGGTCTACGATCGTACGGTTGTAAAGCAGGAAATCAAAGCGGAAATCGCACGTAAAAATGCTGAAATCATACGCGAACAACAGCAGTTAGATGCAGCGAATGCCGCAAATGTCGCCGAAAATATTTCGCTCGACCATGATATACAAAATAAAGAAGATACTAATTCAAAAACGAATATTGTTGCCATAACAAATGTGGCTGATAAAGGTGGTGTCTTCGTAAAGGAATATAAAAATGAGCCTATAGAGAACGGTGGCCTACAGACGGGTAAGATATTAACATTTATACATAAATTCTAGTGGCTTTATTATAGATAACTGAAGTATAGGTATATTTTGCTATTATAACTAATATTGTAATTATATTTTCTTAATTAATTCTTTGTATAGACCTATTGAAATAATTAATTGTGTAAATTTGTACAAGGGGCGGGAGTATAGAAAGTTCAGTACCTCCAGAATTAATGCACAATTATATTCGTATATGTATATTTTATTTTTTAAATCAATGAAATTTAAACATTAAATTATTTTGAAAATATATTTATTTCACTACTAGCTACATTCATTTCACCCCCGGATAGTCTTAAGTATCGCCCTCCGAAGAAGATGCACCTCGCAAATGCTGTTGCTGCAGCGGCACATCAGGCCAACAACACTGTCAGTGTTATTGCATCTTGCTCAAGTTATAATTCAGCTTCAACGGCAACAACGACTATTTCAACTGGAACAACGGTTGCTGCATCCAATCAAACACAAAACAATTCACACGCACAGCCACTTACGCATAACACAAATGCCGTTAACACTACTGAAAACTCTTGTCTCTCGCCAAACGATTCAAAGTTGTCGCCAAATGTTACCGGTACTGGTCAACCGCGTCGACGGCGAACGCGCTGTAAAGTCTGCGCAGCTTGCCAGCGTTCCGACTGTGGGGAATGCAGTTTCTGTTTGGATATGGTGAAATTCGGTGGACCTGGACGCGCTAAGCAAACTTGTATGATGCGTCAGTGTCTCTCCCCCATGTTGCCGGTGACAGCACAGTGCTTCGTATGTCATTTGGACGGCTGGCGCCAAGTACCCGTGTCCCCTCAAACTAAGCAGCTGGCTTCACTCGAGGGACCTTCGACGCTAATGGAGTGTTCGGTGTGTTATGAAATTGCGCATTCTGACTGCGCGAGGTCGTTATTGGACGGCACCGAAGATTCCGCAGACGCTAAAGGTGTAGTAAATGAAGACCTACCAAACAGTTGGGAATGCCCAAGTTGTTGTCGATCTGGAAAAAATAATGACTATAAGGTAAAAATTACAAGAATTCGTTTTCTTGCTATATTACAATTAAAACCGAATTCAAAATTGGGTTACTGTGTTCTCTAATTTGGTCCACATGTAAGAAATGTAGCATTTAGTACATTACATAACAAGTAGACGTTGTTACAGTCTTTGCTTCTGCCGAGTTTCGAGTTCACCGTTCAAAAAAGTTTATTTACCATATACTATGATTTGACTCGAGCAGACAAAAAAAAATTTTCACACACATACTTACTACAAATCTTTATTATCAAATTAAAAAGAGTCTCCTTAGTCAATAAAAGCATGACAACGCGTTACCTAGACCCGATTGTCGCAGGAACGATGTTGTCTGGACTTGTATGGTCTTCAGTCTATGTTCCGAGATTAAATAGATTATCCAAAACACTTCTGCAACATTTTCACAAAATTTTCGTTTTTCAATTTTTTCCCCTTATAAATATGGCCAAACAAATTTTTCACGTCGCAAGCAGCTGCCAAACTAATTATATAGATAGAGATCAAAGTTCATGCGAAAAATAAATAAATCTGGGAAATAAAAGGCAATTCGGTTTGCGCTCGCAGATCGGATGATAACTTTTGGATAATATTGATATTATACATATATGTATTTAAATATCAAAATTAATCTGTTATAAAACTGAATTAATTTCTGCACGTCTGTTGGATTTTACGAGTATTTAAACCATTATGATCACTTTTGTGAACACTTCAACACACAATAAAAATTAGTCCCCAGACACCACCCATTAATTTAATGAATTTTGAAATCGGTTATTTTCATAATTATATAAATTTATTTATATTGACATTATTTTTTGAATGCAGCCCCGTCACTTCCGTGCCCGCCAAAAGTCTTCGGAGGTACGACGCACATCAGTTGGTGGGTCAAATATTATTACAGCCGGTCACGATCACGACAGCAACCAATTGCCACCGCCGATTGGGCAGTACAATGACTTCGTTTTCACAAGCGAATCGGAAATGGAAAGCTGCTCTACCAATGCTGTACACTGGAAGCATGTTGCGAAGCGTCATCATCATCAAATTGAAGTAAAGACAGAACGCCATTATGATACCTCTTCGCCAGGTATCTCGCCCCATGCAGCTAGCGATCGCATTAAGAGACGTAAGAGTGACGATGGCTTAAGCTTATGTAGCAGCATGCAGGACAGTATTGATGCGGGTGCTTCCATGGATTGTCATGTGGGCGTTGGAAATGGTGGTATTGTTAGCGGCAGTAATGGTACACAAATGTTACGAAAGAAGAATTCAATACGATCACAGTTGGCTCAACAAATGCTCAACTCTTCAACGCGAGTTCTCAAAAAGCCACATTATGTAGTACGACCAGCTGGACATATATCAACCAGTGGTAGCGGCTTGTCAGGCAATCATATTGGAGGCGCAAATCTAGCGCTCGATCCAACATTGTTGAAAATCATGTTTCGCTACCTACCCCAAGAAACGCTAGTCACATGCTCTTCGGTCTGTAAGGTGTGGTCGAATGTGTCTGTGGATCCTGATCTCTGGAAGACAATGAACTGTGCAGAGAATAAATTATCTGCTTCACTGTTGACAGCTATCGTTCGCCGACAGCCAGAGCACTTAATACTCGACTGGACACAGATAGCCAAAAGGCAATTGGCTTGGGTGATTGCACGCCTGCCTGCTCTTAAACACTTGTCGCTACAAAATTGTCCCATTCAGGCAGTGCCTGCACTACACACTTGTCTTTGCCCGCCATTACAAATATTAGATCTCAGCTTTGTGCGTGGTCTCAATGATGCCGCCATACGCGATATACTGTCACCGCCCAAGGATTCGCGACCTGGTCTGGCAGATTCAAAAACGCGTTTACGTGATCTTAAAACTCTCAAACTGGCCGGTACCGATATAACCGATGTGGCATTGCGCTATATAACGCAAGCATTGCCGAATCTGGTTCACCTCGATCTTTCATCATGTCAGCGCATAACCGATGCAGGTGTGGCACAAATTGGCACATCGCCGACTGCCATAGGTAAATTGGTCGAATTGAATTTAAGCGCGTGTCGATTGGTCTCCGAGTTTTCTTTGGAACACCTAGCTAAATGCGAGCAATTGATTTGGTTGGACCTGCGACACGTGCCGTTGGTGCCAACGCAGGCGGTGATAAAATTTGCAGCCGAATCTAAACACGATCTCTGCGTGAAGGATATAAAATTGGTGGAGAAACGGCGACCACAGAAAGCGACACAGGTGACAACGTCCTCAAGCTTAGGCGGAATGGGTTCAGTGAGCAGTTGGAATGACTAAAAATATTAAGTAGGAATAAAACCAAAAACTTAGTTGGATAGTTAATAATCGAAATTAGATTTCGATAAAGTATTGAAATGCATAAAATTATTATTAAAGTGCAGTACAAAACAAAAAAAAAAAAATGTACGCATGCAGCAAAGCTGGAAAACATTTCTTACTACGCTATGCGTATTTGTGTAGGTATAATACAGAGCTAGCAGAAGCATGTATAAACTAATCGGTACACTATAAATGAAATATTAAACTTAACTCACAATTTTAAAGTATTTGAAGAAATAACGCATTAAACCAGTTATAGAATATAACAATAATGGAAACACAACATAAATTTTAAAATTGTATATAATTTGCAAATGCGTTGTAAGTGTTAACTGTATCTTTTGTAACCATAACTACAATACCATTTAATAATTGTGCAGTATTGACTGTTCTTGATCGTACTATACATAAATAAAGTTCATTGCGAATGTGAAGAAATCTAATCTAATTTGAACCAAGTCAGTTATAATTGCCATATGTTTTATTACAATAACCTGGACTCACAAAGAACGCTTCAACATTTTCAACTAATACTACCCACTTTCATTTTTTATTTTTCATATACATATGTAAAAATGTAATCAGCAAAGGAACCCCAAAAAGGTCAAATAAAAATGCTTATATTTCTCTGCATAGCTCCAAATATACAGCAAATTAACGTTTGAAGAACTATATCAAAACCGCAATTAGTGCAAATAAGCAATATGAATTGTCTTAATTGACATATGTACATGTGTATGTATGGTATACATGCACGTACGTACGGCATTGGTAAATTTGTTTTAAAAAATTAGATCATTCTTCGTATGGTGTGTTAAGCTTTGTAAGAAGCTTGAAAGAAAACTATGTAAACGTGTATTCTAACATTAAGTTTTTATAAAATATAAATAGTATTAAGCTAAATTATAAGCGCTCATGTTAAAGCAAATTTGCATACTTATGTATGTATGTTCGTATGTATGTATGCACATATATGTATATAAGCCTTATAAGCTCACAAAGGCAAATTTAAAGGGGGGTAAGGTTAATTCGTGTAAAACAAGGATTATTTTTATAATTTGTTCTTTATTTCTGATGAAACAATGATATTCTGTTACACTTTCATGGACAAATATTCGAAAATGCGGCAATTACTCTAGATCATATTGAAAAATAGTTGAATTGCGGTACACCTCATAACTGGGTACTGGATCATCTGAAATTAAAAACTATATCGTTAGATAATGACTTTTTCCCGGGTGGGGGTTTGGAATTTGAATTTTTCACTCTTTGGACTCACTTTGGAGAAAATATGCAATTTTTTGTGATGAAATATGTTCATAATTTCAAATCGATCGCAGCAATAGATTTGATTTTATGAAGTGCACCAACTTTAGGAACGTGTGTTCTGGAACAAACGCTTTAACCATTTGAACACTGATATAAAACTTTCATAACGGGTTAAAAATGGTCGAATAATTCGTGTGTTTTGCTCGAAAAAAAATTAAAACCTTCCTCCCCTTAAGTATCTTGGGATAGTTACAATTATGCACACTTGTTCACGCTTAAATTTATATTCCGATGACTTATCATCAACGCTTTTAGTTAACCGATAACGTTGCTAATATTATGGAGTTTGTATCGCAAATAATGCAACAATTAATCCCACACTATAAGATTACATATGTACATACTTGGTATGCAATTTTAATTAAAATGAAACTTAAGTGGTTGCCTGAGAATACAAACAACAACAAGAGACTATTCAATTGGAAAAGTTTGCGTAATGGATATGAATTTTGTTTTCGTTATCGATTTCCTTGTCCGTACATACATGCGTACATATGTATGTATGTACTTGTGAAACATTTTCCTTCCAATCATAGAATTGTAATGCGCATTACAACAAACTCTTACTAATAAAATCAATCCATTGTGCATACATACATTCGTATGTGTGCATGCACGTGTATGTGTATTCCACAAGTGAATGCAACATTAACAAACTAAATTATATATGTAAGTATGCGCATATTTTTAAATATTTAAATAGACATACGCTAATTTTTATATAAACACACACACATTGAAATTTTAAGTCTAGTTATAGCACATATATTTGAAATGTGCACGTTTTAAGCGTATCACATAACCGCAATTACATACATATAATATGTAAATATGTATATTTAAAAAAAAATTAAGAAATTATAATTAAAATTTATTGTTTTGCAATAAATATGATACATAAATTATATTTAAAGACAACGATCCGAATAATGATTTAATTATTTATTAAAAAGAAAAAACGATGACTTCGGTTGATACCCTTCACAAATAAAACAGTCATACGAGAACTTGATTTTGATCGGTCGGTTTGTATGGCAACTATAAGGGCTATAGTCATCCGATCTAAACAATAAGTTCAGAGTTTGTACTGTTGGCTTTGACAATAATCCATGCCAAATTTCGTGAAGTTTTTTCTACATTCCTTTTCTGAGTATAAAAATGGTTGATTCGGATAAAATCACGCATTACATTACATAAGGAGTGTTTGCTATTTATTTTATTTTTTTCATATCACAGCCCGCCAGAACCAAAACATTATACAGTATTTTTTAATGGTTAAATCCATGGGGGAATACTTACAACTAAGTTTTTTTTTATATTTATTTTAAACAGTTTATGATAAAATGTCAGTATTGAAACTAATGGGTGCTGATTCAAACCCACCGTGAAACCAAAGTTAAAACTACATAAGCCCGTCCAATCTGTACTATACATACAAAGGTATATGGTATATACCTACATCTGTTATGTCTGCATTGAATACCTAAATTATGACAGAAATATAATAAAGTATCAATACTTGAATCACGAACCACAATCATCGGAAAAGTTAGAATAGATTTTATAAAAATATGAATAACTGGCTATCTATGTTATTTCGTCAGTGTTTGGACGTTGAACTTGAAACACATTCATTCGATTGCTTACATTCTTTCGTTTATATGTATTTTTTAACTAGACAAAAATGCTCAAATAATCAGTGCTAAAAATGTCAATTCATTATCAATAAATCATTGCGGCACATAAACACTTGCACCCCACTGCTCGGTTTAGAAGCCTCAATTTACGTATCTCTGTGAAATTTACCACATACATAGTTCTTTTTTCATAATAAGGCGTAGATTACAAGGGGCACATTTCGGTATATATCTGACATTTGCATCTACTTAATACAGTAAGCCGTCGGTAAAATTAGCCGGTACAATTTCAGAGCAAGGCTAATGTAATAGTCGAATCCTTGTTACAATTAAAATCTAAAGTAAAATTTTAATGTTCACCGTGAGACGAAGCAAGGTTTCATCAGAAGGCTTATAATAGCCAAATACATGATTTTATCATGGAATTAATTTGACAAAAGTCTATGAAATTTAGAATATTGTTGAAAAATAATAAATAATGAATAAAACAGAGCACATTTTTATGAAGTTTGAAATTTTAATTTTTCAATTTTTTGAGAACACATTAAAAAAATGTGATTTTTCCGATTAATAATTGTAAAATTAAAAATATTAATTTATTTAAAAATAAAAGCTTTCCAGCATAGCTTGGTTAATTATGTAGAGAAATAGTTTTGAAGGTATTAAAAATACTAATAATTTCAATTTGCAAGTATCGACAGATTCTGTTTAAACAGAACATTCTTAAGATATTGTGCATTAATTTAAAATATTTCAAAACCCCTACCCCCTTAATATTTTCTGCACTATGTGGCCTTGTCATGGCCGACTATGTGTATGCTCTTAATAGAAGTATATTTTTATTTTTAAGGCATATTCAAAACAATCATAAACGCACATTGGTGTATATCCAAACGCAGGTGTATATGTATATATGTATTTAAAAATAGCAACTAACTCCACATAAGAAAAAGAGATTTGTTAGTAAAGCCCGCACATTTCAATATAATATGTACAGCCGCAATAAGTGTGGGGTTGTTCGTAATTTTCGATCGTTGCGGATAATTGCTATCCACTTTATTCTACTAGCCGGAAGGTGAATTGAGTGTTTTATGTCAAATTACGAGCCCATCTACATATGGCAATTTTTTTTTGTTTTCGCACATTATTACTTAGTGGAAATATGAAAAAAAAATAAGTGTACCAACAAACATTTCAAAATATATATATGTATGACTAATTTAAATTTGTTACTTTCTCCACCGCAAGATTACTTATGTGTTATCTTTGTCATTATGATATGTTACTACCGTTATGAAAAGTAGAATCCAAGTTTTTAACTTAGTCTATTTAAAGTTGTTTGACTGTATATGTACATCGAACGTTACAAATGCATATGTATCTGTATATAGAAGTGTGAAATCCCTTTACACATAATTGCAATTATATTATATTTCGCATTTTGCAATTAATGAATGAGTGCATTTAGTGACATCTATTGAGTAAATAGCCAATTGTTTACTTATAACAATATTATTTACATAATATTCTTAACTTTTTTTTACAACAACGCAGACGCAAACACGCAAAGAACAAGCATATATGAGTGATCGGTAACAAAATTGATGGAGGTAGCAGCAGTAAGAGTAGCAGTAGCGAAAACAAAATGATTATAGTATTAAAGAAATGTGTGAGACTCCGTCCAAGTGATCAAAATAACTGCGACTACAAGCCAGTTTATCGTAGGCATGGGTTGCAGCGTGTACTGTCGCACCTGTGCTGTACCGCCTAGAGACTTAGCAGATGGAATGATCGATATTTTTGCTAACACGAAAATTACTGCACTTTTAAATACAATAAAGGACTGGCAATTGGACATTACACAGGACGATGGACTGTCGCAGTGTATTTGTAAGAAGTGCGAATTGGCGCTAATTAAGATTAATACATTCCGATTGCAAGCGTTGAATGCAAAAAAATACTTGCAAACGCGACTATATTCAATAGAGACAACAGCAGGGGTTGACGAATCAATCGACGACAATGAAAATGACCTTCATACGGAAACAAATTATGGTGGAGTAGAAATGCATAATAGAGAAATCTTACCGCGTACTTTGCAATCCGAGTACACATCTATACAAATGTGCAAAAAAACGATAAAAAAATTTAATTCAAATGAGAAAGTGAGCGAGAAAGAACAATCAAACAATTTTGAATCAGGTTTAAATGCAGTCGTCGAAGAAAGGGGTGAGTTACCGTTTGATTCGAATAATGAGCCTAGTAGACCACACGAATTTCAGGTAATACTAATTGAAGAGGAGGAGGAGTCGACACAGTGGATAAGCGAAGACGAAAACGCGGGGGAGAAAAGAATTCAACCACATTCGATGGGAATTATTGAATGTGAAGAACTTTATACTGGCAATAAAAATACTTCAGCGGTATCCACTGAAACACATCCTATAAATTTGCGTAGTTTCACTAAACCTTCAAAAAATAGATCAACTGAGTTCATGAACAATGAAAAAACATTGAGAAATAGAAGACAAGCCCAAAAAAAGATATACTACGAAGTAAAGCCAAACGAATCTTCTAAAGTTTCATCACTTGTTGATAATAACCCACCAGAAACACAATTTCATTTGGTTCCCAAAGAAACAATAAAAGAAATTGTACCTATTTATGAAAAAAACGACAACACTTTAGAAGATCCAGCACAAATAAGTGATATTCAAACATTATTAGCCACAATAAGCAGCGGATCATTTGAATCAATTAGAGGTTCAAGTCCCTGCTCGGCAGACGATTTACAATCAGTGCTTATGAATCAATTCACACTTCAAATGATCAACGCAAATTTTAACATCCTGGAAAACGATTTGCAAATTGACGACTTCGACACCTTGCTGGCGGCGGTTGATGAGCAATCCTCTTTAGGATCGATAAATAATAGGGAAAAATATTCCGGTTCTCTGAAAAACGGAGGAAATGTATTAAAAGTAAAAATGGGTTGCTGCAAAGGAATACCTGCACCAAATATAGGAGAAAGGGGAAACGAATGGGAAATGAATGAAAAAGCTATCCCTTTACAAACAACAACAACAGATCCTGAATATAAATTTATAAACCATACACCAAATGGTCCTCCCTATAAATTGGCATATAATAAAATGTCGATTGACAGTGTGGTTAAAAATGAAAAAACAAACGTAAAAGCAACACCCGTCGCTGGTCGCTCAAATAAAATAACTCCAAGAAGTTTGCGTTGTCGCCTTTGTGTATACTCTGTTTCGGATCAGCCTGTTTTCGCCACCAAAGAGATGCTGGATAACCATATAGCTGCAGTACACGATGATAAAGAACGGCCTTATAATTGCCCTCAGTGTGTGGCACGGTACCGCACGCGAAGCGGCTGTGTTGCACACATAAACGCAATACACCTTAAAAAGGGGGACAAATGTAAATTGTGTGATAAAATAGTTGCAGGCGGCGCCGGACAGATGCGTATGCATATCGAACGCAATCACACCCACGGCAACTATACATGTGAGATCTGTCATATGGAGCTGAAGAACATATCACTTTACAATTTCAAGTATCATAAAAGATGGCACAATGAAGATAAATTATGGAGATGCGAGCTCTGCGGGAAAGCGTTTGTTACGCGCACACATCTAATAGAACACAAAGTGACGCACACACGACAAGGCGAATTTCTCTGTACGCGGTGCGGAAAAAGTAAGCAAACACCTATATTCTACATGCATTTGCTTTGTATATATTGTATATGTATATGAAAATTAATTTGATTAAATTAAAATTTTATTTAAAGGTACGCGCAGTAAATGGGAACTTCGTACACATCTCTTCACCATTCATGGCGAAGGAGAAGCGCCATTAAAGTGCAACTATTGTGATGAAAGTTAGTTGAAAATGGCATAAGGAGAAACTTTTTTTTACAATAATTTCATTGCAGAGTTCACTCAACATGTACAGAAACGTGCTCATCTTGAGAGATATCATCCTATGGAGTTAGCTAAGCGTATAGTTTCGTGTCCAAAATGTGAAAAGCATTTCTCTACAGAGACGAATCTTCAGCGGCACATTAAACAACAGCATAATGAGGTTAATGCCGATATCAAGCCCTCCGATACGGTTACCTCTTCCACACCACAATACGAAGGATTCATGTGCGCACATTGCCCTCGTAAATATCGTTCTAAATACGCACTTATTAAACATCTGAGGGTGCATGCGGTGATGGCGGATAGGCCATATTCATGTCCTGATTGTGAGATGCACTTTAAGCACTTCTCAGAATTAGATAGGCATGATTTGCAGCATCATGCTACAGTACGCCCTTACAAATGCGATAAGTGTTTTAAGGCTTTTGCTACCAAAACAGCACTTAAAATCCACGGACAAGTTCACGAAGGTGGGTAAATAAAATGATGAAAATGCCATTCAATAGATAATTAATATGTAGTCCACTATACGGTCTTTTTTTTTACTTTTACCTTACTAGCAAAGGGTAGAAACTTTCGATGTCCAGAATGTAATCAACGCTTCAAATTTGAAAAATCTTTAAACCTGCACATTATTTCCCACAAAACAATGCGACACAGCTGTGAAATTTGCAAAAAATCATACATACGATTAGCACAATTGAAAAGTAAGTATATATGCACAATATTTAATTTTTTGAACTAACTGCTTCTATTTATAGCCCACAAAAATCGTTACCATAAAAAAACGAGTGATACAGAGGAAGAATAACTTATTCAACTAAAGAAATACGTAATATAAACGGAGCGTTCCCAAGCCAGTCGGACTCAAAATTATTTACAATACAACCATATTCAGCGATATCTTCTGCGAAAAAAAAAATCGTACGCTACAAAAACAACAAGAATAAAACCCAAAACTATTCGATAAATAATATGGCTATAATAAAAACGTTGTGAAAAAAGTATAAATAATTAGATTACAGCAAATGTACTCTTAAATTTATTTTAAATCAAAGCTATTAATGAGTATGTACTTACATTATAAATTAATGAAACTGGATATATATGTGAAACTATTCTGTATAACTCTTTATATAATTTTGTGGTCTGCTGCATTAATATTTAGCAGCTTTGTAGTCGGGTTCTTCTGCTCCTCCTTTAGGAAACTTTCGTTTTTGTATAATATTCTGAAGAAGTAATAAAAACAAATTAATTTATATTTGAAAACTACGGTTAGATAACTCTATTATTATGTACCTGTATTTTCTGCCATTCGCGATCCAACTCTGCCTTTTCGCTCTTCTCGGTTTTGTTTTTTCGAGTTCGTCTGCCGTCTTGCATTTTGACACCATATTGAAATGCAGCTTTGGGTAAAGCCTCCTTTGTGCTCATATAATCAGAATATTCCTCTTGTGTATCAAAATCCCATCTACCAATAGGTCCTTTTTTATTGCCCAAATCCATTTTCGTATAGTCTACTTCGTCATCAGAATCATCGATGGCATCATTCATTTCTTCTAATCCTGGATAACACTCAGCATAACCCTCGGGTTCATTGGCAAAGCGCGAAGCTATCGCCTTTGTAATCTTTGGTGGCGGTGGAATATTAGTTACTAGCGGCTCAGAATCTTCGTTTCCTTTTACGTCTGCGAAATAAGATCCAGCCACACTTTTTGGGTTATTGTTATCTAATTTTAAACCTTCCTTCTTAGAGTTTGGTTGATACTCTCCAATATCGTCGTATATGTTGTCACCTAAAGCTTTACCAGTTAAACCACCACCATCACTTAATCCAGTAATATTTAAAGCTTGTTCCATTTCTTTTTCATAGAAAAGTGGTTTATCTTTATCTCTCTTCTTGTTTTTCTTATTGCGGCCACCCGCACGTAAATAGGAGAGAATTTGTGAAAGTTTATTTATAACTATATCATTTGTAGTAAGAGTGGCGATATCTTCTCGATTAACAGGCACTTCAAATTTTGAACGTATTAATGTCGTTGGAATATCGGTTTCTCCCAAATCATCATCTAAATCAATAACGTAGGCCATGCGACCTGGCGCAAATAATTCATTACAAGACACTTCTTTAGAGCGTCGAACTTGAATTATATTGAAAATATTTCGCGCCATTGCTCCTTTTATAGTCATATGATCATCAGAATCCTTGCTTTCAGCTTCAGCTTGTTCAGCTGCAGCGGTTTCTGCTAACTTTTCAGTAGCTGCCGCAACTGCCAATGCTTGTTCTTCCACCTCTTTGGTTTGTAATTCAGAACGGACTTTTTGTAAAAGGGCATAATCGAGACCTTTTACCAAATGCGTGTGTCGCATATCACCGCCTAAAAATTTAGATTCCTGTATAATTCGACGACGCCGCTCAGCTGCATCTATGCCTGATTTTAAATCCGGTGCAACAGCACGATAAGCATTGGTGCTACTATGACCAGGCGTGCTAACGTTTTGATAATCTGGATTTGCTCCATCACGACGTTCCCTGGCTCGATCGCGATATTTTTCGGATAGTTGTTGCAGTTTACCATCTTCTTGTTTTTTAAGTGCTGCATAAAAATTTTTCTTTTTTCTACGCAAATCATTGCGTTCACTACTTGAACCTTGAGGTTTTTTCTTTTCTATAGACGACGATGTAGCTGTTGCAGAATTTGCAGGTGTACTCCCTGGTGGTGGCTGACGAGGAGTAGCCAATAGCTTACGAAAATCATCGTTTGTCAAACGGACTGATTCAGCCATTTATCTGATAATATATGAAAAAAATGCAATTTAGGGAACCAAAAATATTGATTGTAAATATTTGTGATTAGTTATGTCTGTAAAATATCGCGAACAGGAGATTTCAAATATCGATATATTAACATATTTACTTGATAGATGTTCAATTTTATATTAAAACATCGCCTTACAATACAACCCACCGGCAATAATTATTGCGGAACAACATTTATTATTTAAAAAATATAACCAATGTTCAATCTACAGAACCATTTGGTATTTTAATGATTATGAAAAAAAAAAATTGTATTAGGAAATAGCGAAAGTACACAATTTACTATATACTATATATTTTATATGGTTACAAATTCCATAATGATTCATATGTGTTTATATTTGATTATTTTTCTTCATATTTTGGTATAATTTTATTTTTTTAAGTTTTATTTTTTGCTAAATGCAAACTGAGAGTTAAATAACTTTTAGACTACATATGCTTAAATTTGGCAATATTCATAGCTATTGAATTGGCTGGCAACATATATTGCCTACCTAATAATGAACTCATGTAAAGGGGTATACATGAGTTCCAATAACCAAAAATGTAGTTGCCTTTCTTCAAACTAAATAATATAAATTATATGCTAATAAAAATAGGATAAAATTATTTCCAACCTGAAAATTCATTGAAAATCGGTCAATTTCTTAATATGAAACATGGATAAATTAAAAAAGGTGAATTCGTAAAAGAACCTTACGGGGCATCTCCACAGGATACAATCTACGTCTTACTAATTGTATTGCCGTGCCTATTGCCTGTGGAGACTCCATATTGCTTACAATATATGGAATACTAATTAGTTTACCATATATTGTAAGCAATAAGCTGTCATTTCAGCAGTTTGACAGCACAGTTTTCAAGTTTGCGAAGAGGCAACATATCCCATTTGCACATATGCCGACGGCATTTTCATTTCGGTGATATGAAATTTAGAAGAGCGAGTATTAAGACAATTGTGTTATATTATAAAAATAAAATACAGTTTCAATATAACATTTTTCCAAAAAATTAATATTGAGTTCAATATTGTTAATTTACAGAAAAATTATGCAAATTGGGTTGGGAATGAGCGAAGTCTTGAATTTAATAAACTTATACAAGCATAAATCAAAATATCATTGGTCATATAAAATTTATTATTTTAATTGGTATATAAGAAGTATGCCACAATTATTATATAGCAGTCCAAAAATATGAATTTTTATTTTTCCCAGAAATACATTTGCAAAAAAAGGTTCGTAATCCTTTTTTTAAATTCCTCATAAAAGATTTAAACAGTTCAAAAGCTCAAAGCATGCGCTACATCAGGTCGAACCTACCTACTCTAAGCCTTTGCGCAAATGATTATGTTATGCTAACAAATGCCCATATACAGATTTGACAATGACAATTGCAATGGATTTGACTGTTAGAATGACATAAAKTTTATCCTGTCGMGATGCCGAATTAGTAAAACTAAARGTACATACGGCAACATCGTGCATATTTGTGAATGCCGGTTCGGAAATTCTAATCAGAAAGGAAAACATTTTTATAAGCTGAATCACAATTATCCTATTATATGCAGATTATATTGTTACAATTTGCAAGTTTCAGTTATACAAATAAAGTAAATACTTAAACAAATAAATTTGGAAAAGTTATTAAAAAAGGAATATATGTATGTGTTTGTACAAGCACCCTATTGAATTTTTCCTAAAAGAGGAGTGAAGTGATTGTTTACAAAGGTAATGAATATATATGTATGTACATATAATTATTTGAATGATATAATTTTAAAAAAGTATCTACTTGCATATTTACTTGCAAACGCAAGTAATTTTGTAATATTTGACTCTTAATATACAATGTCAAATATCAGCTCTGCCATTTGTTTAATTGTAATAATATGCCCTCGAAAAATGTTGCTAAATGCTTAAAATCAAAGCAAAGTTTTTAGAATTATATTAAATATTTTCCACTTATAAAATAATTTCTATAAGCATAAATATGCACAAAGCTAATGCAGAGTATAAAATATCTGATTTATGAATTATTTTATCTCTCTTAAATTAAATCATAATAACACAATGCATACGTTTTTTTAAGCTAAGATATATAAAACAACCATTTCCAAAATGCGAAAAATACGCCGACGTTTCACCTATAAGATTGCTGCACTCTTAGGTATTCTTACAGTGGTTTTGTTTTTGCTATTTATTGGGCCTCAGGAAATGGATCGTAATGAGAAAATGTAAGAAAAGATTCATTACTGAACAATAAATATTAATATATATTTTTGTATTTCAGTTTAATAATAGAGCGTTCAATACGATCGACTATGAATCGTGGTGCGTGCCGTCTCCCACAGCTGCCATTAGATGATCCAGAAGTAATGAAATATTATCATGCAGTTGATCAGATCCAATGTGGAAATCCCCATGATGACTGGGTAACATGTGAGGTAAGCGTCATACTTTTGCAAACCTGATATTTTCAAAACTAAACTTATGTTAAATTGATTTGAGTATTATTTCGTGATAGGAAATAAAACCAGCCTTTGAACACTTTAATTAAAAATTTAACAGTTCACATGAATTTCTTCAYTTATTTATAGAAATCTATATGTTTTGTCAAGCCGGAAATAAGTGCCACTCAAGGTGAAGTGATCTGTACTTATACGGATGTAATGCGCAGCACAGATTATAATAGCAAATATGGTAAATCAACCAAAACCAAGGAACCGTACATATTGAGGGCTAGTGATTTTGTAAAGGTCGTGTGCCACAGTTCTACGTCTGGTAATAGTTGGTATGGCATGGCCTTTGGCATAAGAGATGGTGTTGCTGTGAAACCGAAAACACCTCCACAAGTTCCGATTTATGCTGGTCTCGCGGGTGGTGTTGCCGATATAGTAGCAGAAGATAATAATCCTTTCGTGCCAAAACATTTCAACGTACTTATGTTTGGTTTTGATTCACTCAGCCGCAATGCATTTCAACGCAAATTACCTAAATCGTATTCATATTTAGTGAATGATTTAAAAGCCATGGTATTGAAAGGCTATAATATTGTAGGTGATGGTACTCCGCAAGCACTCGTGCCATTACTTACAGGCTATACTGAACTGGAGTTACCAGAGACTCGTACGCGAATGCCGAATGCAAAGAATGTCGATGTTTATCCAATGATATGGAAAGAGTATGCACGCCACGGTTACTATACCTCTTTTAACGAAGATGTACCAAATATCGGTACATTCACATATCGCATGAAAGGTTTCGCCGAACAGCCAGTCGATCACTATTTGCGCACACTATATTTAGAAGCACCGAATATGTGGAATCGCTGCGTCGAACACTGTATAGGTCACCAACCAGATCATGTTGTAATGTTAGAATACACCAAAAATGTAAATATACATATAACAAATATGAGTTGGCATATTATATTTGTGACCAATTTACAAATTCATATTTATCTTTAAGTTCATGCTTAAATACAAGGATTCACCACGCTTTGGCTTCAGTTTTCATGGAGGATTATCTCATGACTCTATCAATTTAGTAGGTGCTGCTGACGATGAGTTAAATTCATGGCTGCGCCATTTAAAAGATACGAATCTGCTAGATAACACCATACTTATTATGATGTCAGATCATGGCAACAGGTTAGTRGTAAAATTAGCTGTGATGCGAATTCTTAAACTTAAATTAGACTAAATAGAAATCAATCACCCGCTTTCCAATTTCATTATTATTTGTCAAAGTAATGATGTTTTTGTATGGTTACCGACATAGGGTAATTTTATATATTAGTATTTGGAGGTATTTAAATTATTTTTATTAAACTGCGCAAATTAAATTCTTTTAAATTTATTATTATTATATCTTTTATTTAGATTTGCCGAAGTTCGCGCCACCCTGCAGGGCAAACAGGAGGAACGACTTCCTTTCTTCAGCTTCACATTTCCAAAATCTTTTCAGGAAAGATTTCCTCAACAGTACGCAAATTTCAAAGTGAACGTTGATCATTTGACTACTCCATTTGACGTGCATGCTACACTTCAGCATCTTCTTTGTAAGCAAATATATTGATGGCTATATTCAATTTTGATGCGGATAATATATTTTTACGTATAATTAAAATTTCAGCACTGCAAAGCGGTTCCGATGACACACTGACAAATAATTTAAATTCAGATTACGATATGCAACCGGAAGTTGTAACTGAGAATTTAGTAGCTCCACGTTACCAACAGATTGCACAAAAACGTGCTATTTCACTATTCGATTCAATACCAAAAAACCGATCATGCAGCGATGCCTACATCGAACCACACTGGTGCGCCTGCCTTAACTGGCAACGTCTCCCCCTCAATGAAAGCGAACCGCACCTACCCGTACTGCTTAAAGCAGCCGATAGCATAGTGAGAACAATCAATGATTTAACTAAATCATATCGCAACCTTTGCGCCCCTCTTGAATTAGAACGCATCAATTGGGCATTACGACTTCATCCGCATAAAGAGCTTCTTAACTACAAGCAAAACAGTGACAAGGACGGTTATGTGGCAGATTTAAGTGACAAAATGCGAATACACGAGGAATTATATCAGCTGCAGATTGTTGTTGGGCCGGGTGAATCCCTCTTTGAGGCTAGCGTCACATATGATTTGAAAACTTTCGATATGCAAACAAAGACTTCAGAAATTTCTCGTGTAAACAAATATGGCGAACAAGCCAATTGCATATACGAACGCAATCCAGAATTACGAAAGTATTGCTACTGCCGTGCATAGAGATCTCTTTGATATATGTATGTATATATCAGTTTAATTATTTTTTATTAGATACTAGCAGATCTATACCATACCTGCGTTGCTCTCATATATTATATATATAGACTACTATGAGTATTTATATTTTATTATTGTTATATCACATATAACTCATTAATTTACTTCAGGAGACTATCATAAAAACGCAAAAACAAAACTCAGTGTATTAAAAGTAGTTTTAAAAATACTTTATCGTACATACCTTAAATAATAACTAGTCCAACACAGCGTTTAGTCACT